GGACACACGATGGTTAGAGCTGTCACACCGGGGAGCTGACTGCTTTAGATTTTCCCACACTCCATGTTTGCATACCAGATGACACCCTCTTGTGACCCCTGGTCTGCCCCACTTGGCTGTTCTTGAACCTGCCTTTCCCTGTGTTCAAAGAAGTGCAATGCCGACGGCAGGTCTCTCGGAACGCGCCGGTCAGGGAATGTTGCAGGATGCTCTCTCCCACCGTCCCCGAGAGCGCACCAGAGCACGCGTGGAGGCCGCGCGCTCCTGCCAGAGGCAGGGGTCATGCTCCTGGGGATTCTGCATGGCCCCCAGCCGTGGCAGCAAGCACACATGCCGCCCAGAACTCTGCGGCGACCTAACATGGCTCTCCCTTGGCCAAGCTCCAGGGGAGGGGCCAGGCCCGGAGTGAGCAAGCATCGTGGAATCTGACCCGCCACAAGCAGCAGAGGGGGATGGCTCTGTGGAGGCTGCCGGGGGTGATTCGGCTGGAAAGCTCATGTCTCACCTAAATTTGACCTGACTTCTGGATTGTAACAAACAGTAATTCAAGTTTTATGATTGTTCGTTACTAGCTATTGATATCCTCAATGTGGCTCATTATAAACATGTGTAGTATTTCTAGTATGTAGTAAAATGCTTATAAAGAGGGGAAAATTGTGGCCATGTAGATGACTCAAAACACAGGCATCTTTGCAGGGACAATGGAAAAGTGAACACGTCCTCAGCCGTCTGTGCCACAGGCACAATTCCAGCGGTCTTAGCTAACAGTGGGCTCTTGTGTTGTCACTGAGGCCACGTTTTGTTTTTTCCAGCCTGAAACTACTTTGGTTGTTTTTCCTTTGGGTTGTTTGTGCAGATCTTTACAGTTACTTCATAAGCATCCTGATCAGAAATGTTGCCTCTTTTTGTTCTCTTGCACAGAAAGAGTTAATTAAAACTGTCAGCACAAGAGATGAACTGCTTCTAATGCCACTTTGGTCTTTTGGCTTAAACAAAGGCAGTTAAGTGATTTCTGTATTCCCACTGTCATTCAAAAACTGTTTAAATTACACAGAGGAAATATTAGAGTATCCTGCGATAAAGAGCATTCTGCGCTTTTATTCCCACGTTTTGTGTATAATGACCCAACAGACCCTGTATGTCGCTCTGTGAGGTTAAATTTTCTCTATGTAAAGGATGGGAAGTCCTTAGGCAATGAAGTGACCTACCCGAGATTACACACAGTTAGAGTCATTTCTTGCTGCCTTTGTTCTGCAGAGACTTACCCACCACGCGTCTCCCCAGTAGATGCCCATGGGCCTGTTGAATCTTGTACCATTCCCTGTCTTACCCTGTCATTTCCCTGCCTTGTTCTACATGGGAAATAAGAATGAAGGCCAACAGGTGGTGGATAGGAAGCCATCCATTCCACACACAAAGAAGACTGGGTGCCTTTTGCCTTTTTTATCCCAGTACATCCCATGCAGACACACCCTATGCCACAAAGTAGATCCCCATTAGCCCTTGATGATAATCCTGATTTAACAATAGTTGGCTCAAAACTGGCAATGCCATCTTCAAAACTGCCAGTTCAAACAAATCAAGCAACCGTAGGCAGAATTCCTTTGTAATTTATTACCATATCCTAATAGCAGGAATTCTTTCTTATAAGTCTGTTCCCAAAGGAGTAAATTTCAGTCAGTTGATTGATCAGTCACCCTTTGAGATAAATGCCTCAACCTGGACTTTTGGTTGCCAATAACAGAAACTCAGTGTGAACCAGTACAGGCCACGAAGGGACTAACAGGGAGGGCAGGACGTTGCTCTGCCTTTAGACAACATGAACCAGAGATGAAAACGCCGCCGCCCTCTATCTTTTCTTGGCTTTCATTTGCTTCTATGCACATTGGCTTCACAGCTGACTCCCTCTGCAAGCCTGCTTCCCCCACAGGGAAGAGGACACGGCCACTGACAACCTCAGAGCCTTCTAGCACCACTGCTACCATTTTCTGATCCCAAGTATAAAAATTCAGAGGAAAGATTCCAGCCAGTGAAGTTTAGATTAAGTGTCTGGGAGGTGAGGGTTGTCTCCGAAAAGAACACTTCTGCCATGCAGTCCTGTCAAGGTGATAATCCCAGCCTGTTCAGGGCAGGCAGGCAATAGATTTCATTAAAGAAGGGTTTAGAAGCATTCTGTCTGTATTGGTCTTCTCCATATTCCCATTCTATAGCAAAGGAGAAATTGACTCATCTGAGTTTCCCAGTAACTAAAGATAAGGTTTCTTTTGGGGGCCTTAGACATCCTCTAATAACCTCATCTCTGATTCAAATGCAGTGTTTCCCGAGATATGGAAACACACCTTATTCCTTGAGCCTGCTAGCATCCAGCCCTCGGTACATGAGGAAGTAACTAAGAATAAACTTCTTTTACACTCACCTATGGGAGGGGTGGGGGCAGGACTCAGTTTCGATTAGGCTTGTGTCCTTGTATAGCCCAAACTGCCCTTTATGTAGAGACTCCGCTCAGGCTGGCATGTTTTTGGTCAGTCCTATCCTTCCTGGGAACAACACAGTCCCCACTCCAGCCTCTCATTGCTTTCCTAACCACCGAGGCTGGTTCACTATCACAATCAACTCCCTGACCCCATCCATAGAATGTCCTGTGCAGCTGCTACAGCAACCTGAATCCTCTCCTTTCCACTTCAAGGCAGCCTAGAAAGTAGCCCCGCCTCACACTGTTGACTGCTGAAGCTGTATACTAAACCTGCCTAGGCCTAGTGGTGATAGCATTTTGGGTCTTCTAGAAACAGACCTGTGATCTTTAAGCGTCGAAGCACTGCGTTGTCTCTGCTCCTGAGGACTCTCAGCAACATTACACTTAAGGCTGGGGGAAGGCCTTGATATGACAGTTCTGGGCTATGTTTTATATTTGCCTTCAACAAACCTAGGTTTTAGAGGCTGGGTTCCTTGCATTCAAAATTATACCCAGCCTCTTATGAGCAAAGTTTTGAGAGAGGAAAGGGTGGTTTAGCTTCAAAAGTGTTGACTAAAGTTTCAAAGTTATTGACAGTATACACATAAGAATAACTCCCTGTCTTGGCTCAGTATTGAGATACAAGAGAGGAAGCTTGTTTCACTGTGACGTTCATTCTTCAGTTGAGATGCAAGAGGACACAGAAACATCCATTTATTTTCTCCATCCACTAAAAATCACTATCATGTGAGTTCTTTGACAGAGAAGCATTTGGTCTGTTAAGAATTATTTTTCTTTCCTTGTAAGATTGTGAGAAAATGTAAGTTATAATTATATCCTTAAATACTAGTCAGAGAATTTGACCATGTGAGGACTGGAATACTAATTAATGTAACAACAATAAACTGCTATTAACACAAAGAAGCCAGTTGTGATTGTTAAGGCCCTTTGTCCATGGTGTGGAAAAGCTCCCATAACAATGAACTGCAGTTCATTGCTCCCATAGCAATGAAGATGCGGACTGCAGAGAGGCTGGTAAAAGGCAGTGGTGTGGCAGTGGCCTTGGGTCCTATCTAGCTTGTGCCTGGCACAGGCACCCTGGGAAATATCTCCTGGGCTCCCTCTCCCACTGCGTCCTCAACAACCATCCAGGGCTTCCTTCCAAGTGAGACTCCTGGCTTCAGTGCAGAATGCTTGGTCCCTGTTTCTGCTCTAGGGCCGGGCCAGGCTCTGCCACCTGCCTTCACCTAGGCAGTGCATTGGGGGAGGGGTGGAACGAGGGAAGAGGGGAGTTCCCTTTCTTAATGGACAGGTGTTGCAAAGCTCATTCCGAAGTTGGAACGTGGGGAGATGGGCTTAGGAGAAGGGGACCAGCTCAGGTCCCCTGTGCCCAGGTTCCTCTCTGACCCTTTCTTTCACAACCATGACTTTCCTTTGGGGTAGAGGGTACCTTCCTCATGAACACTGGGGCACTGATTCCTCTGGAGTAGCCCAGAATATTATGATGGTCACTTGCCCATTTAGCGGTAAGATCTACTATTTCCAGACTGCCAAGCTCCTGAATGGCCTATGCTGGGCTTCTGGTTGCGGCCTCCCACTCAGTATAGAGGAAGGGAGGGTTTGGTGGCCTTGGGCCAGTTCTCTTCCATTAGCAGCTACCTACCCTCCCCACCTACAACCAGGTCAGACACACCCTGAAAGTGACTGCAGTTCCTGTCTCTAGCTCAGGGCATTTTATAAGATTCTGCCTCTCTGTGGCCATTTCAAATCTTGTCCCTTTTCTCTGTTTTCCATGGTTTCTGGCTACTTTCCATTTACTGTGTTTTCTCTCTGCTTAGCCCTGTGAGATCCCTCTGGGTTATTTGGGTTCTTCTCAAGAGGTCTCATCTTAGCTTGCTTCTCTCATCTCTAGCTCTGCAGAAACACAGTGTGCCAGCCTGGCTGCCGGAGACCTTATCAGGGCCTGGGCTTGGCCACTTCTGGAAGGGATGTGTGAGTAGATGAAGGGCCTTGAAGTTGGCAGCCCCTGTCCTCTGTGCTCCCTGTGATGTTCAGGACGGGCCTCCATGCTGTGAGGTGTGCCTTGGCTCCGGAGAGCCCTGGTGTGAGAATTGAGATACCCAGATCTGTGCAGGAGTTCTTAGCACATAGTTCCTTGGTGAATAGTACCAGCTCCCTGGTCTCCTCAAAGAGAAGAAGCATATTGCTGTTGGTACGTCTGGCAGGCTGTGTCTCTGGCTAAACCAGACCCAACACATCCAGTCAAGTCAAGCACCACTGGGTCCGGAGCTCCTCTGAGGCCTTCCTGGCCAAGGGTGAGGTCGTCCAGAGGGTAGTTTTGCCAATTTTCAAAGCATCACCTATCAATAGCATCTGGTCAGGTTCTTCTTGTAGTAGTTTTGAAATCCTGTGGTTTCATGTTTAGGTGCATGGTTTTGCACATATAATCAGTGAAACTGTCCACACAAATTGCATACTTCATTTGGAAGTTGGTAAGATGTTTTTCCCACATTGTAAGTACATTCTTTTTTGTTTTCCTTCTCTTTAGTCCCAGGTAAATCACCACAGTGCTGCTAGTAATGAAACATACCAGGAACGCTTGGCACGTCTAGAAGGAGATAAGGAGTCTCTCATTTTACAGGTGGGTCTTTTTTGGTGGGAATCAACACATCCTATTACTTCCAACTCTGTAGCTGCCCTAAGTGGGAGAGACGTACAGGGATTTTCTCTGTTGGATTTCTCTTGTTCCCAGAGTGTATGTTTTCAGAAACACTTTTGCTGAAACAAAGCAGAAAGTAACTGAGGGCACAATTTAGCCCTGGACTTGGCTTTTGGGGACTTTGAATGTATTCACTTATTTATCATGGGCTACCAAGCACTCACCTCTACACACTGGAATCTCTGTGGCCAGGCTGCTTAATGGAGCCTTGTGTTCTAGGAGCCCAGGAATCTTGCAAGGATGATAAGCTGTGTCCTCATGTCACTAATTAAACAGATTCATGAACGATACAGGCTAAGGGTGCATGTTAATGGGGTCAGGTCCAAATAATGGGGAGGTGGATCTAGACTTACACATGGAGGCCTAGAGCTGGTAACATGGGGCAATAAGCCTTTGATGACTCTCTGGCTTCAAAGAGAGGAACTCTAAAACATTTCATGGAGAAAGATAGTGAAAAGAATACTTTCAGTTCTGAAAACATGCATTCTTTGGTAGGACATAAAGTTGAGGATTCCTGTGAGAGGCCTATTGCTGTGGCAAGGGCTCTTTGCTGTTAGCTCTCAACTGCATGAATTAAGCATCAAGGTCTGGTATGCGCTGATGGTTTGGAGAACAATAAGATTAATATCCCAATCCTAGTTTTTTAAAAAGCTTGAAGAGCAGTGGACAAGACTAACAGTAGAATGGAAGAAGGGGCAGGTAGAGTTCGGAACCCTCCCCAGAATGTGGGCTTTAGCCTGGAGTCCTGGAGCTAATACTAGAGTTAAGAGGCCATAGTATGTTTGGTTTTCTTCTTTTATTTTACCGTATTTATTTTGTTCATTTTATTTCGATTTATGAATGTGAGAGTAATAAATAATTATGTTGGAAATTTTTAAAAATCAAAGAGTTTAACATTTTGGCCCTTTTTTCCAGCCTTTTATCGTGTCCTACCCCTGTCTTAAATAAGTAAACTCAAACCAATTACACAGTAAAGAGTTTAACATTTTGACCCTTTTCCCCAGCCTTTTTTATCCTGTCCTTACTTAAATAATTCTGCTCAAACCAATTATACAATTATATCATTTTGCATCCTAGTTTGTTTGTTTTTTCCTCCTTCACATCGTTGATTTTGTTCATTAAAAAATACCTGAGTGCTGACAGACACTGGTTTTAGGTGCTGGGGATACAGCAGTGAAGAAAACAGACTAAGTCCCTGTTCTCAAGCTTCCACTCGTGTGTGTGTGTGTTACACATACAGTAAACCAATACACAAAATGTGTCAGGTGGTGATAAATATTATGGAGAAAAGTAGAACAGGGTGAGGACTGCGTAGTTAGGGGAGACCTTCCCTGACACCTGAAGGAAGTTATGGAGGGAGCCACTTGGGTGCCTGGAGAAGCACACTGCAGGCCAACGAAGTGGTGGGTCCAGCACACATCCTGAGCCAGGGGTGTGCTTGGTGAGTGGGATGAACAGGAAGGGGCCATGTGGCTGGAGCTAGTGGCCTACAAAGAAGCCTGGTGGGCACTGCCTTCGGAGAGGTAGCAGGGCCCAGATTATATAGCACATTAGAGCACAGGTGTTTTGAGGAATGTGTCATTTGAAACGCCGTCCCAATACGATGATTAATAAAAGAGTGTCCAGTTTAGAATTTTGCAGCAAATACTATGAAATTGCAAGTGTTTGAACCAGAAACCTTCATAGCTGACATAACACATTCCTATTTAGGGGATTACATTTTAATAAAAAAGTCCTATTTGATAATCTCTTTGATGTTCATGGGTTTTTTTTTAAACTTTCAAATTCTTGAATAATCCTTATTTAAATAATTCCAATGCAATTGGGAACCTGCTTATCAGAAAAGTCAGAAGTGTATCCTAGCGATTTCTATTCTGCCAGAAGCTTGTGGACAGGTACTCAGTTGCGCTTCGTGATCGCCGCTGCTTTGCAGTGGCCCCATGGAGTCAGACAGACAGACCCGCAGCGGGGCAAGGCCTTTTGCTTAAGTCACGTGGCAGCTCAGCCGGACTGAAGTAATTGAAGCCCTTAGCCCAGAATGTTTTCCTGGGTTTACTTGTAGAAGAACAAGGGAAATCACACAGAACAAAGTACTTTGTTTCCAGGATTAGCTAAAAACAAATAAAACCAAAATCTTTTATCTCTTCATTAGACTGTAAGTCCTTAAGACGAGGCTTTTCTTTCCTTTCTTCTTCTTTTTTTCACTTCTGTATCTGTCCCAGTGTCTAAAATTATGCCTAGCATGTAGTAAGGGCTCAAAAAGTACTGGTTTTTATTATATAAAGGTCACACTCTAGGATCTTTCTCTTTCTTGTTCCAATTTTCTACACCTCTCCATTCATTATGCTTAGAGTGAGTATTCAGGTTCCTAAAGACCCCACAACCCATTGTATCTTGAGTCTTACATGCAGCTGAGCTATAAGCTATAGAATGCTACATACCACATATTATTCCTCTGGGTACCACCAGCACATGACCCCAAATCGCAAGGCGTGATGCAGACCATATGTGTTAATCCTCATAATTAGATTAACCATAACATATCCTTCCCAAACAGAAACTCTGGAACCCAGGAATCAAAGGCCACCTCCTGGAATTTCTACCCTTTCGAAAGTAACGTTAGTAGTTGAAAAAGCCAGACTGCTGATGGTGTTGGGCAATAAAAATTTAAAAACAAACAAAAGACATTAAGGTGTGTGTTTAAGATGGGCCTAGTTGACAGAAGGTGCCTGTTTTTGGATTATAATTGAAATGTTAGCACACCATGCCCCAACTCCAGGAATATGTTTCAATAATTCATTATTCACTTGGAAACCTAAAAACGGAAAGCCCAATGTAGCCATATTAATTTAGATTAGTTCTTCTGTAAAGGGAGCCTTATAATTCATAAAGTTTATTCAAACACTTGTAAGTGAATTCTCATTAACTCTTTCATGCTCTAGGTCTTATTCCTTTATAGACTAAGAAATCATTCAAGATAATCTGTTGTATATGTAGATGGCAATGACTGAACCATTGGTGGAAAACCAAAAGGATCTAAAGGATCTCAGTTTACCAGGCACTAATTTCTTTCTTTTGGGGAGGTCACCCATTCAATTTCTTCCCCTCCCTGCTCTGGGGCAACTTTTAATTCAGAAAAAGGAAAAGGATACCCAGGCAGTTTGCTAATAGAATAGGCTATGATTTTTTTTTTCAGAATATATTTAGGATATAATTTAAATAATTTATTAAAAATGTATTCCCCTAAATTAAGTCCAATAAATATTCTCTGTCCCCCCCCTGCCCCTGTCACTGTGTGTGCAACGTGGCTTCTGTATATTTATAACTTAGAATCGCGCCTTGGCCTGTGAAGCACAAAAACCTTTCTGGAGCCAAGGTTTGTCAGTGCTAATACCTGCCCTTTACGTCCTGTCCTGCATTCCTTAATTGCTTCAGAACACTCACCTGATAGGTGAGCAGCCTCACACCCTTATGAGAGAGGTGAGGTCATTGGCTAGTCTGCGCAGAGCTTGGATTGCTCCTCCACGTGGGGCGGCAGAAGCCCTGGCAAGCCAGCCGAGATATGCCTTGAGGTTGGGGCTGCCCGAGTGAGCTCTAGAAGAGGAATAAAGAGCAAGAGTTCAGCCTAGAGGCAGCTTTCCTGGCTGCTGGGTGTTTTTCTCTTGACTCTGTCAAGAGCAGGAAATGTGACTGACGTTATTTGAGGTGGTAGCTGAGACTCCCTGGCAAGGTAAGAAAACAACTGGCGTTTCCTTCATCTGGGACACTTCCCCCACCTGCCACCCTCAGTGGGGTGGCTTCACGGCTGTCCCCTGTGGGGAGCCAGTCCTGCTCCTCCACCATTGCTTTATCTTCCCCCGTCAGGTGAGTGTTCTCACGGACCAAGTGGAAGCCCAAGGAGAGAAGATTCGGGACCTGGAAGTGTGTCTGGAAGGACACCAGGTGAAACTCAATGCTGCTGAAGAGATGCTTCAACAGGTAAGAGTGGCTGGGGCTGCAGGCCCTTGGGTTCTACCAGAACTCAAGTGTTAAAGCCCCTTTCTGTGTTAGGGTTACAGCTCTGCCCTTCCCGTCCTTCCTGGAGCTAGGATTGGCTTCTCAGCGTGTGGTGTTGATTCAGCAGGTGAAACCAGCCTGAACATTGAAAGTTGCAGGGGAGCAGAAGGCGGGGGGCCTGGCCTACATGAATAACCTGTTGGGCTGGTTAGACAGATTCCCCAGCAGCACTTTCTCCAGGTCTGGTTCAGTGAAGGAGCCCTCTGCTGGCAACATCCCCCTCATATAATCACGTGAACTGCAGCTTGATCACAGGTGGCATCTGGGATTTTAGAAAGTCAGTTAGTTAGCTTACTTTGTACACTTTTCCACTCATTCTTCCCCCTCTCACTCTGTGTAGTCTTCTTTGCCGAAACATATTACATAAGTAATATTTTAAATACACGTTAAAATGAAAAAAAAAAATTAGCTGTTCTCCTGCTAGTCGAATAAATAAATCTCTTGAATATCTTCTTATTTTCTGTTGGTCCTTCTTCTTATGTATACATATAATTTGTAAAGTTCTGTTCACACCAGAGATACAATTTAGTCCTCATATTTTTGTATGTTTCACATCATAGAGTTTTTTCCCTTTCTAAATTTTGCTGTATAGTTGTCTTTACTACCACTTATAGGTATTTGTTTTGAGTATAATTAATTAAAAAGTATAATTAATTAACTCTTCTACTCTTGAACAGTTTTAACCTGTTGTGAATTATGAGAAACCATTTTTAGGAAAGCTACTGATTTTTATCAAAAGTCTTTTTAGGCACTGGCTGGTGTAGCTCAGTGGATTAAGTGCTAGTCTGCAAACCCAAAGGTCACCAGTTCGATTCCCAGCCAGGGCACATGCCTGGGTTGCAGGCCAGGTCCCCAGTTGGGGGTATGCAAGAGGCAACTGGTGATGTATCTCTTGCACATCCATGTTTCTTTCCCTCTCTTTCTCTCTCCCTTCCTCTCCCTCTAAGAATAAATAAATAAATATTTTTTTTTAAGTCTTTTCAGAATCTGTTGAGAAGCTAATTAGAAATTTTATTTTATGGTCTATGGACATACCACCCTGAATGCTCCCAATCTCGTCTGATCTTGGAAGCTAAGCAGGGTCAGGCCTGGTTAGTATTTGGATGGGAGAAATTTTATTTTATAAAATTTATTAATATATTTAACTAATATCTTCTCTTAATGTGCATCCTTCTTGCATTTTCAGTTATTTTGAAAAATAAACTGTGACTGAAGTTTATGTGTGTATGCTTTGTAGCTTCTGGTATAGTACTGGCACATAAAAGGGCCTCACTAATTGTTTAAAGAATGAAAGTCTGTCCCTTTAAATAAGTGGGTTTGATTAGATGACCACTTGTAATCTTTCCCCCAAAGCTTTAATTTTTTTTATTGCTGTGAGGAGCATAAAATAAAATTGTTATGTAATGAACACAGGCTTTGAATCTGACCTTTGGTCTTAAGATAAATCTCTTAGTTCCCAGGTGTCTATTAGCTTTGTGTAAGTGTATTTGAAAAACATTTCTTTTAAAGTCAGTATTTTTATGCAGATGGCTTTATAAAAACTAGTTCCAACAACTGGGGGCTGTTATTAGTTTGTTATTTTTTCGTTGGTGACTAGTAAGTTACCACATTCCTAACTCCATTTGATTTTCTGTTTAAATTGTATGGCATTTCTCTTGCTATTCTCTGAAAATCTGAGTAGCAATAGGAATTGTCTTTCTATTTTTTTCTGTTTACTTTTAAAAGTTCTGGATCTTTCTTTTGAAAATCTGGGAAAGAAAATAGGCTGATAGAAAAACCTCACAGGGCAGAAAAGCATTTTCACAGAGAATGCATAGGGCGGCCCGCTGGATTGTATTTTTAAGGCGGCACAAGGTGTTGTTTTGGGGTAGGGATGAGAGAGGAAGACGACGAGGTATTCTGGAAAAAAAAAAATAACAGAAAAAGAAAATTTGGACCTGGAAGGGAACATGTCATAAAATTGTGAGAAGGTGGACGTTTCAGGAAAGCAGTGCCTGGCAAGTAACCACGTGACTGGCGGTCAGAGAACGGCTGCACTGCGGCCTCTGAGTTCTCCAAGTGAGCGCCGTTCCGGCTGCTCTTCCGGGGCTGCCCCACAGCCTCTATGGCACTGCTTCTGAGCCCTGGTCAGAGTCTCTGTACCCAGCAGTCACATTGGTTCCCAGCAGCACCTGGGGGAGTCTGTCCTGTCCTTCCATGGACTGGATTTTAGACTTTGGAAGCAAAAGTCTTAAGCTCAGTTACTCTTTGTGTTTTGTGTATCCTAAATCATCTTGTGTGCTGTGGGTTTGGTAACAGGCATGTGGTTTGCATGTACCATACAAGTAGAGATCTTGGCTTGGTGTCTTTTCCTGTATGATAATTCTTATTACCCACCTCTAGGATTTAAAGATCTTCCTGAACTTAGTCATAGCTTTGTACTCCTAACTTTCATTGTATTCTTTCAGACTTCTAAAGATAAAATGAAAGAAATGTAGAATACTCCTTGTGTGGAAAATTCTGAGTTCACTTCATAAGACATATATGAGCCTCAGCTCCCATGGCGGTGCCTAAGCTTGGGATCTGTGAGGTCCTAGCTCCAAATCCCACATGTTAATGCCTTCCTGAAATCTGCTTGATGCCGTTTGAAAAGACACAATTCTTGCACCACAGTGCTGATGCGATGCCATCTGTAGCTTGTAATACATACATGTGTCTTCTGAAAGGGGGACAGGCAGAGACTTGCCTCAACTGTGTTATCCTGGACTGCAGGGCTCTTGGCTTCTGGTGATAGGAGCAAGAATGACTCATGGCCTTGAGGCAGAGAATGGAGGCAAACAATCGCCTCTTTCTGCCAGCCCTTAGAAACCATCGCTGCCCTGAGCCAAGCCTGGCCTGCTGCTCAAAGGCCCGAGGAGCTCTGAACAGTCTATTTCACTGTCACAGTGTGGGGCCTTCTGGCTGCCTGTTGACACTGCTTGGGGATGCTGCTCCACTCACTGACTGCGTCTTGTCTAACGGAGGCAGCTGCTCCTCAGCTCTAGCTGACGGCCCGTGGAGGCCTGGTGCTGCTACATAGCCCCACTTTTCACAAGAAGCTGGAAATCCAGATTTAAAGATAAGTTCCTGTTTTAAAAACATCGGCAATTAATTAAAATGAAAAAAAAAAAAAAACTGTTTGAACCACATGATACGTACCATCAGGCCAAGCCTGGTCAACTGACCTCTAATCTACAACCTCTGCTCTAGACTTTGCCCCCTCCACGGGCTGGAATAGTGCTTGGGGGGACTAATGGAAACCCAAGCCCAGCCAGCATAGCCCAAACCCTGTGCTTACATGGGCTTCAAAACCCCACTGAGCTCTCTCCACACATCTGTTCTCCTGACCAAAATCAGCCTCCCTCCAGGAGCCCAAGAGGAAGCAAGGGAGTTCCCCACCCAACTCATGAGCCACGCACCCCTCAGCCTGGCCCGACCCCTGCCAAGTACTGATCTCTCAGTTCCCATCTGTTTTCTTTTAAGCATGAACCCATCCAGTCTCCAGAAATCAGAAAGAGAGAACATGAAGACCTTGTGGCTTAGTTAGATGGGCAAACCAAGACCAAACAGAATCAGCACAGGGGCCAGTCCACATGGGCAACACATGGACACAATTGAGAACAAACTGTTACTTGTCTGCAGCCCAAAGCAGTTTGGGAAGGGGGCAGCTTCCTCATCTCTCAGGACTTCCTAGGAAGCACCTACTCAGACACAGCCTCAGCCTCACTGAGCATGTCTGGATTTCTCAGAGAATCGTCCCCATTAGGAAGAGACATTTCCCCAAATCGTACAATTGGACCTTCAAGGGGCCGCAGCCTGGATCAGTTTTCACAGGTCTGGGGTGGTCTGGGTACAGAGCTCACAGGGCTGAGCCTTGCCCTCTGTTCCTTAAGCCAGTCAAGGCCTTGTCCAGCTGCATCTCTGAGTGCTGCACACTGGGCTGTGTGAGCCCAAGACTTAGAATAGCACCCTGGGAATACAGGCATGCGCCAGTGCCCTCCTCCTTGTGACTGGCTCAGCTGGGAACAAAACCTCTGTGTCATTGTCAGGGTCCCCCATGGTCTGTTGATGTATTTGAGATCCTAACTTTTTCTGAAGAGGCCTCACAGATTGTCTTGAGGGGGTCCAGAAGGTTCTTGCACAGCAAGCTCCTCTACCTCCCATCATGGACTGTTCTCCAGAGGAACGAAGGTGATGCTATTCACTGGGTGAGAGATTGTACACAAAGCTGGCAGCCAAATGCAGCACTTTGCAGAGACTGGCCATTTATGATGGAATCAATGTCAAGAGCAGAAACGATACTGACTGCCAAAAATAAGATAGGATAGGGAAGCCAAGTGGAGAAGAAGAAAGGATGCAGACCTCCTTGTGAGGACATAGCCCAGCTTTTGGGAAACCTGAAGACCACCAGGCTCTGTTTCAGTCTTCCTACCCGACCCAGAGCCCCAGGCGTCAGGCGACCTCATTGTTCTGGCTGCCTTTTTGGTGAGGTGTGGAGAGTGACAAATTTAGTGGGCTTGGAGTCCGTGGACATGACTTCCTGTAGATTCATGACTTGCTATTAATCTGGGAAATTCAATGAACTTGTGCTCTTATTTATAGAGAATGAGGGTGACGATGTGTACTCAACATTGCCCACCTCTTTGTGCCATAGTACAGTTATTCCAATTTTGTTCAAACTGCACATAAATGGTCAGTGTGAATCAAGACACTGAGCAGGAGGTATGGGGCCTAAGATACAGGCCCAGTTCCTGCCCTTGAGGTGACTGAGGGAACAATGTGCCCAGAGGTGTGAACTCAACAAAGGCTCTGCAGCCCCTGGCTGATAAATTTCCCAAGAGCACTGGAAGGGGTTATTTCCATCTCAAAAAGAATATTCAGCAGAGCTGTGGACGTGGTCCTGT